GGCTCCATCATCCTTCATGGTTTGTAAAATTACAGTTATACCCTTCTTAGAGAGGTCTCTATGCAGAAGTAGAAGAAAACATGAAGTACAGCCTTGCAATTAGAGAAAATCAAATTTAGTATAAATTAAATTTCAGTATACAGAAATGTGAATGCAGTACACGTTAAGTGAAATCTACTCGCAAAATACGTGGTCCGGCGGTCTGCCATTAACATATAAGGTTTCACTTCTCTAGCTGTGGCTTGCATGGATCTGCATCACTCTGTGAACCAGGTTGCTTCCCGAATTGTTTCAATGCGATTGAATATATTGTTTTCCTCCGAACTGATGTCCCGTCGGCCACTAATTTGACAGCCTACATATGTACATAAGAGTTGTCAAACCCCTCAACCCCTCAACAGTTCACGATCAACAAACGGAAGAAAAGATAAATTCTTCATAATCTTTCAAAACTTGGAAAAGGCATACACACTTCTGTGAAATAGACTAATATCCGATAACGGAAATAGGAGTCATTACCGTAGAAAGACCATGCCCACTTGAGATCAAATCTCTTAACTCATCCTCAAGCTGGGACTCTGAAGGAGCTACAACCGGAGAATTTTCCTTTCCTTCAATTCATACTGTAATTTCACCTTTTGGCTGGTAAGTAGAAAACGCTTCTGCAGCTTCCCCCAATGTACCCCGCCAAAACTGACAAGGCATCAAATTTAGACACACATCGTAAAATAAGTCAAGATCACAGGACGAAATCAACAGAATAGCAATTATTTGTGAAAGAACATGCTAGCATTTGAAAAATTAAAAACAAAAATATCAACAGAATGGCAACTTTATCACTGAATTTGAACTTAATAGGAACACGGCAAATAATATACGCATATCGAATTAAGTACATTCATACAAGTTGTCCAGCTGACTTGTTGAGTTATTCCCCAATGGGATCTGGGTTCCGAGAGGTTCAAATCACATTGCCAAAACATTAGTCAAGTGAGATCGGCCTGTGCCTAAAATGTCGGACGAGCAATGCAGAGCCCAAAAGAAATTACAGAAACAGTCTGCTTGGGCAGAGCAAAAGAAATTGAGGCTGTAGTCTAACACATAAAGAAAGCCAAATGTGTAGAGTCTGAAACTTAGCCTACAGACAATCTTGAGCAACAAGTTTCTACTGGCATTGGCCAGGCATGCAATTTTTTACAGAGACATTGTCCATATTATCAGTTACTAGTCTTCGGTATGCAAAAATTTAAGAAGTTATATCATCAGAAAGAAGACTTAAATACTACTCATAAATTAGTTCAATTTTCGTTTCTTGATAAATTACGTAGTGGGATTTAAAAATGGTTAATCGCATGAGATTCTTCACAAATGAAATGAGGAAAATAATGTATAACAGATATAAATAAGAGACATCACCATAAGCCTACCTCTTCATGAATTTTTGTAATTTCACGAGCTATGACACATTTTCTGAAACACAATTACAAAATCACCAAATCAGTAATTTTGTAAAACCACTAAATCAGTAAAAGTGCATAAATCTATAAATGGAAGTTCAATTTGTAACTCACCATGACAAAAACTAATAAACAATCATATCAATGAGTTAGTGAGGGATAAAAGTACAGAGTATAGGATCTTTTAGTTTAAATACTAATTCTACAAAAACTTTTAGCCAAAATACCATGTTTTCAGTTTAGGTACCAATAGAAAAGTTGACCAAAACAATTCCGTAAATAATACTATAACTCAAAATAATTACATGAGTGCCACTCAATCCTACCGCGTTTTTTTGACCGGCCAACCTTTTCCTATAACCGGTTAATCAAATTTTCTGGCAACTGACCGATCAAATTTTCCGGTCTCATTGTCACTGTCCAACAGTGACCTTCAAAAAAAACATGTTAACTAATGAATTTTCTCATAAGTTTTCTAACTTTATTGTTTGTATACATGTGAAAAAAAAAATAAACTCAAACATCAAAACATAATGGGGAGAAAGCTTATAGGTGTATTTTCTCACAATTTGTGGCTTAATCCAAATAGAATGGGAAGGGATTGGTAGTTTTTATTGAAGTTGGTATTTTTTTTTTTCTTAAAACCTTTATTAAAATTGATTTTTAATCAGAAGCCTTAAAAGTATTTACCTTGAAACACCAAAAACTGAAGAAGTCTCTTCAAGAAACTGCTGAAGTTTGTGGGGAGGCACATAGAATATTTGGGTCGTCCCCTCATTTGCTGAAACCGTCAACCTCTCTCTTCTAGATCCAGCATGTTTAGAGAGAAATCCAACTGCAGAAGTATAATCAGTTCAGAGTTCTATATACATCTTGTCCCTCAAGCCACATCCACCAAGAAGAATATCTGCAACATCATTTCCATGGAAAACTTACCAAACGTAAACTCATCCGTGGACAGGCCAGAGGCAGAGAGAGCAGCCACAAAAGCGGACGGCCCAGGTATAGGAATAACAGGGATGTTTTCATCCACGCACAGCTTTGCCTGCAGCAAAACTTGATATCAATTGCACCGCTACATGATACATATATATCTAAACCATATCCGCAATAATATACACTACATTACTCCAAATTCATATTGTCCCGAATGACTAAACAATTGACAAAATCAATTCAAGCTGATACATGATGAATTGCTTGGTGTAAAAGTAAAGAAAACTAAAGAAGATGGGGAAGCACCTCACCAATTCCGTAGCAGGATCACTGATGCCCGGCATCCCAGCATCGCTTATGAGCGCCACAATTTCGCCTTCCTTCAACCGCTTCAACACCGTACACTACATTACTCCAAATTCAGATTGTCCCGAATGACTAAACAATTGACAAAATCAATTCAAGCTGATACATGATGAATTGCTTGCTGTAAAAGTAAAGAAAACTAATGAAGATGGGGAAGCACCTCACCAATTCAGTAGCAGGATCACTGATGCCCGGCATCCCAGCATCGCTTATGAGCGCCACAATTTCGCCTTCCTTCAACCGCTTCAACACTGTTTGTCCCCTTTGAGCTTCATTGAATTTGTGATAGCTCAGCTGTAATCTAAAAGCATAAATTAAAACCACTAAATCTAAAAGCCAACCAAAATTACCCCCAAAAACTCCCAATTCACTTACAAGGGGAGTTTTGATACTGTAATGGTGGAGCAGCTTCCCCGAATGCCGAGTGTCTTCGGAAAGTATTACATGAGCTGAATTTAACACCCGGAGAGCCCTGCATTGGCGAAATTCAATTCGATATCAAATTAAAAAGTGAAGAGAAAAGGAAAACATTGTTTGTAACTTTGTATGTAGAAATTGAGCGAGCACCGTAGAGTGATATCTTCGAGGTTTCCGATCGGAGTTCCGACTAGCTACAGACCGGGTTCAAGAGGACCCTGCAACCGAAACAGCATTCAAAAAACAGAAACTTTACGGAAAAGAAGCAAAATCATGCATTTTCATCAACCAAAAAGGAAAACTGACTGATTGAATTCTGCAAAAGCCAAGAAATTGAAATTAAATTGAAGGAGGAAGGACGGTTACTTGTTTCGACGGCGGTTGGGGGATTGAGTCGGTGAGTTCGGCGGAGATTTGAGGGCTGGAAGAACAGAAGGGGATTATGCTAACTTTATTGGGGCAAACGGAGAGCGAGTGGAGAGACGGCTGCGCCATCGGAGCCGTCTGGGTAGGGAGGAAGTTCGAGAGTCCGGGGCGCCGCCATGAGAAGGAAACCGCCGTGAAAGGAAGTCGTCGCGATAGCATTTGTTCCCCAAACTAAACCTCTCGCTCGTCTTTCTTAGTGGAGGGAAAACACAGCTGAAGCGAACCGTTTTGGGATATTTTTAGAAACGACAAGTGAACAAAGACGCTGATTCAAAGAACGAATAAGACAATAAGAAACGATATTCAACACTAATCTACTTAATTAAGGTCGATGCAAAAAGTTTTCAAGTTTTAAAGAATTTGTAGCTCAATTGATTAACAGTAGTAAAATACCGTCACCTTGTATCAAAAAATAGTTAACTCAGTGCGATTGCCGTCATCCCGGTGTATTAAAAACAATTGACTCGAGACTGATAACATATTTGAGATTTTTTTAGAATAATCAAAAGTAGACCTGACATTTCAAACCCGACCCGACTCGTCCCGTTAAAATGAGTATTCGGGTGAGTGTTTAACGGGTCATTTTGGATGAACCAGCGAAACCTGTTAACCATCCGTTAACACCCGTTATTGAGGGTTTTTTTTGTAATTTCAATAGTCAATAATGAAACCCTCACTCCGAGTCTCTATCCCATTACACAGTCAAAACTCAAAAGCCCTTATGAAACCATCTACCATAAAAACTTAGGGCCGTTTGATAACCATTTTGTTTTTAGTTTTTCTTTTCGCTTTGAAAACTGAAAACAAAATGATTATCAAACGATCGCTTTGTAATCTTATTAGGACCAAAACGACACAAGTCTAATTGATCAACCAAACGGAGCTCACCATTTGTATAAGCAAGGATGGAGACATGATATTTGACACAAGGGCGGAGCTAGAATGTTTTTCTTGAGTGAGCTAGCTGAAAATAGTACTATAAAATCATGTTTATTTTTATTTTTTTGCTTATATAAAATTATATAATAATCAATATAAAAGAGCAACAATATAATATAAACTATTCTCAAAATTATAACCCTAACCGATAAATTCAAGGACCATATAAATAATTAACCTACTAATTAAATCAATAATAAGTAAATAAAGAGATTAAGAACGTACAAAGGTGACATTCATTGGAAAATCGCAACTGAAAGTAAGGAATTCCGGAGATAGGGATTTAATTGTGGATAAAAAAATTAATTTTCTTTTCTTGAGTAAGAAGCACAAAGGCTAAATGACATAGGATAAATGGTATTTTTCTCTAAATAATAAGATAAAGGGGGACTAGAGATAGACCTAATTTATCATTTTTAGCATAAAACGTATTATTTACTACCTACCCTTTACTAAATATACATTAAATAATAATTTGTATTGAAATTGAGTAGGTTATAAGCATGAGTTTATAGTACTCCAATAACAACATTGATTAAATAGTACTCCAAATCAAACCCCCTTTTTTTCTTTTATAAATAGTTAATAAACATTTGTTAGGTCATTATATTACACTTTGTCATCATGGAACCACCATCTCGTCTCCTTGGGAGATCTGCCGTTCCTGCAGTTCTTCACGTATCGATCGTTATCCGCCGGGCGTTGCTGCACAATGGTAAATTGCACGAATCAGGGTTGTGAGTTTGCTTTACCGAAGTAATGTAGGGTGAAGTAAGATCATCAAAATCTATGACTTCAACCACCATACCTTCTCCGTGGAACTCGATAACATGGACAGAATGCTGATACAGATTGAACTAACCGTCATGGCTGGGGACCATGAATCATATAGAATGTCTGCAAAGAAAAACACAATCCGTTACCGAAAAATGAGATAGCTGGTGCTCATTTCATCCTAATAATCAGAACCATCAGGTACGTAACAGTTTTGTATTTCATCAACAATAAATTCAAAATAATGTCTCGAATTGATCGAACTGATCAAACTGTGATCACCTTAGCCACGCATTTCACAGTGAATCAAGGATAAAAAGATGAAAGTTTCGCCTTTTTTGTTATCTTATCATTTCCGGCAACAAAAATAAGATATCTAGTGCTTCAAAAACCAAAGCTTTAAAAGCTCAAAACAGCAATGACAAGAATAGATGCAAACATAAGGGATGCCAAATGACTCCCAGCAGGCAGCACCTAGAAGATTCTATCCGGTGACCAAAGCCTCACAACTTCAGCTGTGAGCTTGGCAGTACCTCACGCGACCATGCCTCTGGACTCATTATTGTCGCTTACAGTAACCAGAATAGGAGTTGAAACTGGAATTTGAGCTCCAACTACGAGCTATCTTATTCCTGGTCCCTTCTTTATAAATTCATTTCTAGTTTATTTTCTTGTCAATCTTCATATCAAGTCAATTCAGAATATCACAACCTCCAACCAGGCACGTCCCAAGCTCATGTGTACTCACTACAGTAAGCACTGGAGGCTTGTGGGTGTGGAGCAACAAAATATATTACTCTACTTCTTTTAACTCAAATCCTGATCTGTTTTTTCAGGTTATGGTTGACCGGCATTGGACTGTACCCTCCAACATTTGATGCTAATGAAAAAATTGCATGTCATGAGACATTAGATTTCTATCACAGAACGCAAAATGAAACGTTCCAAAGGGCTAGTGCTATGATCAAAATGTTAGGTGACGTTTGCCTCAAGCATAGTTGCATAGAGAAGGATACTCTCCAAGGCAAGGCCAAATTCTAATGGTCTGAAAATTCAATAGAATTCAATTAAACTTATTATAAAGTTGCCTAACTTGCAAGCAAACATTGCGATGTAACGTTTGACCAACTTAACAACTAGTCATCATTTTGATAGAATGAAACTAACGATCGCACAGGTCAAAGCAATGACTCGAATAATATAACAACCATCTAATTGTCTACTTCCGTAAGAACAAAGTACGAATTCACGCCAAGACTTTGGTTCCATACCGGCCCAATACTGAAAACTAAAGATAGCGGAAAATACTAAAACAAAGTTAAAAGACAAGAACGGTACCTAAACAAATATGGCCATTGCTATAAATGTGGGGATGCAGAGGAGCCGGAGAGACAAAAATCACCTGAACACCGAAACAAACAATATAGAAACTACAAACCAGTCATTTAAGCGAAAAGTTTCAAATATAAATCGAACATTGTGCGCTACTAAGTTGCTAATCGTTCTGTATTCGCCAATTTTTTGAAACCCTGATAACTACACAACCACCAAACGATATGTATAAGTACTTAAACAACTTAAACCTAATAGTCAATCTTCGGTTTCGAAATAATTTTCTTGGCAGCCAAACAGCATTAAGAGAAAAGCAAAAATTAAAGTCTGAATCTTATGGACCTGTGGTGCTTCCATGGGGTAATGCTCGGGGAAATCAACTTGGAGCTGATACAATTCGTTAGCGTATAGAGTTCCCGGAGCTCCGGTGACTTCGATTACCCATCTTAACACAAAATTTCAAGGAAATAAACACTAATCACATGATTAATCGCAAAACAAAGGAGATTAACACTTTAAATTTAAAGAAATTGGAAATGGAACCTCTGAAGATTATCAGTGACTTTGTGACTAAAACCTGCCGGAGCATTCACCTGCCACTCCACCAGCTCTTTCTGCAGACGATTGCAGGCGATCTTGCTTAAAGCCTACGCACCCAAAAAATTCCATTAAAAATAAATAAATAAATATTTAAATTGTAGAGAGAGAGAAGTAAACCTTGCGTGAAGTGGAGGAGGAGCTAGTCATCGTTTCCGGAGAAAGTGGACACAGAGGCGGACGACGACGGCTGATTCGAGTGCTCCTCCCTACTCTCCTTCCTCAGCTAGCATTTGCTCTCAATTTTCTCTGAAAAAAATTCAGAAAAAGTATTTTACTTTATATGACTGGTCAAATTCGGGATCAGAAAATTTTCCAAAAAAATAAAAATTAAACTATATTTTATCAAAAAAGTGTTCACGCGTGCGAGCACCCGCCACTCTCAACAGAACTATCTCCGGCGGAAACAATTTTTTAATGTGTCAAAAACACGACAATAGATATAACAAGTATCATTAGAATTTTAGGAAAGGGATCCGGAGATGATCTATTTCCACTAAATCCACCAAATTTAGGATCTAAATCGTTGAAATTTGATGTAACGGTTGCAAACAGAACTATCTCTGGCGGAAACAATTTTTTAATGTGCCAAGTATCATTAGAATTTTGAGAAAGAGATTCGGAGATGATCTCTTTTCATTAATTCCACCAAGTTTGGGATCCGAATCGTTGAAATTTGATCCAACGGTTATAAACAAAAACTCCGTTAAAAATTATAATAACTGTAACCGTTAGATCAAATTTCAATTATCCGAACTTCGATGAGTTTGATAGAAAGGGATGGAAGAATATCTCTTTCCAGAATTTTTAGCCGACTACTTGTATATAATATTTATATTCCGAATTGTATTTCCGTTGCACAAAAAAATTTCTTCTTCGGCAGGACCCACTGATTACTGGAAGTTTTTGAGGTTTGGTTTTGCCACGCTGATAATATTTGATTGCGTAATCCGCGTGGTCGTTTACATATATATATTTTTTTTTGTGTTGGCGCAGGTCGTTGCCTTTATTTAATTTTAATTTCTATGGAACCAAAAGATATTCTCCTAATATAATTTCGATATCGAAAAGTCGCACCAAATCGAACACGTGGTCGTCTAATCTAAGCATATAATTATAGAATTAATAGTTTATTTTGTTTCGGTGAGAACTTTAACGAAGAGCTTTAGGTGTTGTTCACTTTAATCAAAAATCACATTTTTACATTAAAAAGTTAATTCTGGTACTATTTATTTTATCTTTTATTTTGTCATTAACGTTAAAATTCAAAGTTTTTAAGTCATTTTCATTAATTTTCCTTTACGATAATCATTAATTAGTTTCTTGTTTTAAGAAATATGATTACTGGTTTTCAAATGTTTGCATATGAACAATTGGGTCATTAATCTAAATTATAATTAGGTCCATTTGGTGGAGTAATATATTTGGATTATATTTCTGGTGGAAACAGTTTGGTTGGCAATTTTAAGACGAGGTTTTGAAGAGAAATAAATATATTGATGATAAAAGTGGAATTTTCAAAACGGTTATAATAAAAGAATTAGGTGAGACGAACTACAAATAAAGACTTGATCATTGGCCTATTAAAGTAGCCTTACCCTCCTTCCACTGGCACAAATGGTGAAAATCAAGACCCCAAAGTTTGGTCATTGAACCACCAAGCAACCTAATTCCTTCATCTAACAGTTAGTTGATGCCGATAGGCCTCGTACCAGACTATTATAGCGTCTCCGAAAAGACTTTCTAGATTATTTTTCTAATCACTTATTAAATTCGTCATTTGTTGGTGTATGGTGAGCATGTATCTTTTTTTAGAGTTGAATTTTTCAAACTTTTTTGACAAGACAATTTAATTAAACTTTAGAAAGCATTTATAAACAACTTAATTGCTCAAACTGAATTCAAAATTAATTTTCTCATTTCTTAAGTATAAGGTCCTTTTTAAAAAAAGAAGTAAAAGGTCCCAAATTTATGTTATGGCATTTATGACGGTTACCTTGAATTAGGGGTAAGCAAAAACACTTTATAATTTAAGGGTTTTTTTTAGCCAAAATAGTTCATGAAATTGTTATGACACCTCACTTTGGTTCATGATATTTAAGATCGATATAATTGGTTTTTGAGATTGTCTACGGTCAATTATTTTGGTTATTCTATGAAAAATTTGTGTTAAATTGAAGAAATCACCAATTCTAGGGGAGAGAATGATTTGACGAAAATACCCTTAACTTAACGGAGATTTCTTACGGAATGATCAAAATAATTGACCGTAGACAATCTCAAGACCACAATTTTAAATTTCAAGAACCAAAATAAGGAGTTATACCAATCTCAGAATCATTTTTCATAAAAAGCCTAATATAAGCTTTTTTAGGTTTGCAAAATCCATAAGTAGTTGCCAAAACAGGTAAAACTGTACCTTCATGTGCGCGTTATGGCGGGACCGCAATTGAGAGCTAACGCACCGTATTCGGTCGTTAATGTTTGGACCTAAACGCACCGTACTAGTCCTCCGACACGACAGCCAAGCTACCGACTACAAGGCCTTCGACTACATCCACACCTCACACGGGAGTTTGCCACTTCCACGTTTTCCACCCGCAACCTTTTATTGCATAATACCCCCTTATATTTTCTATTTTTGTGCAATTGACATTTGCTCTAAATAATTCACAATCAACCACTTGTACTTCATGCATTTTGACAATTTGGTACTTTCGTCCGGTATCATTCATATTTTTATCAAATAATGATCATGTGGCATTCAAGAAGACCTTTTTCAAAAACATCCTTGCGCGCGTGTAAGGTATGAGGATAACTAAGGAATATGTAATGGAAACATGTAGTTTAGGGGGCTAAAAAGTTAGATTTTGAGTTTAGTGGAGGGTATTTGAGCTGGGATTGACCCTGGTGAAGAAATATGTAATGGAAACATGTTAGATGGGCCTCGTGCTAGCCGTTGCATCTACTGTGATTTAGTGCATTGTGTATCACAACAATGTGACGGTTCAACGGTATGGATTATATTACCTTTGTAATCCAACCATGGAAATCAAGATTTGTCGCATGCTCACTAAAAATCTATTGGTGCGTTGGTCTTGGCCTAGGCGAGTCTCGTGTGTGATAGTCTGACTCGAATTAAGCATATAGTTCCCTTCCTGGTCTGGGTTAGTTTTACGGTTCCATCCTTACTCCTCTTCGTATCCAAAAAATTGAGTACCTAAGGGCCATGATTTAGTGTGGCGCATTATAAAGTTGTGGGCTCAAATGATGAGTATCCTACTATTGGAGGAAAAAACTAATCGATCCCACACGTATAGGTGATACTCTAAGAATTTAGATTTGTGAAGAGAAAGCAACCTCATAAGCACACAAATTACCCCCATTTGAGTGCATGTTGGAAAATGTTGATACCAATTCCAATCAAGGCCGAATAAATTGGTCGAGAGAAGCGATGCGCAAACTTGATCGTTTCAAAGAACTCGACTGATATGTGAATAGTGTGAAGCAAACCTCCCACACAACCAAATAAAGACAAAACTTAAAGTCACATGGTTGGAGTCGAAACACAAGAAAAGGTCACAATTTGCCTTGAGGTGGTGCATTTCATTATCGGCTTACTACTCATCACATTGATATTGTTAATAAGTCGCATTTAACTACCTATATGAACAACATTTGTGATGTTTTATAAATAAATAAATAAATAACACCTCTATACAATTAGTAGTGTAACCATCTCATTATACATTGTATTTTGTTTCGTCAAGTTTCCGACTTTGAATTCTCACATACTTACAACACTACATTGTCACACAACCTAAAGTTTAGATGATTAATTGTAAAATTAAAAAAAATCTATACCAGTTGAAATTTTCACAAACGTAGAAAAGTCTTAAGTCATAAACTTGCAATTTTCAAAAAAATAAAAATAAAAATAAATGAAGAAAGAAAATTGGACGACATTTACTTAACTCACCAACTGGTGGTTAGTTGGCCGTTGGCGTAATAACGTTTGATTGAACTCTCTTAAGCAAACAACCACCACCACCACCCGTCACCCTTCACCCGTCACCACCACCCACATTCCGCTCCCCTGCTCTCTCTCTCTCTCTCTCTCTCTCTCTGTCTCCATCTCTCTCTTTCTCTCCATCTCTCTCTCTCTCTCTCTCTCTCTCTCTCTTCATCTCTCTCTCTCCAAGAACTTTCTGCCTCTGTTTTCTCTTGGTTAGCGTATACATATTGCCAAACCAATATCCCCATTAAAAAAATACACAAAAAACAGAGCATTTGAATTTTAAATTTCTTCCGGGCATTAAAAAATTCAAGTTGGTGTTGATATTCGAATTCTTCGATTATTCAATTGGGCATTAAAATATAAATATACTCGGCCGAAGTAGGTGCCTTTGTTCCAATGATAAGGAGGTTGGTCTTCTTCGGGAAACATATCTCTCGGGATTCGTGTCCGTCTTCGATTCCGGAGAGTCGAAGAAGATAGCTCGACTTTTCTTCTTCCTCCCTTTTCTGCAACTCCCTTCAATTCTTCAAAGTTTCTCCATTTTTTTTTCTGGTAATTTCGGTTTCTTACTTCCCCTGCTGCTTCAGTTCTGACCCTTTTCTCTGTTTTCGATTTTAATTAATTATGTTGATTACGTTAGTATTTTGGCTATGAAATCAGTATTAGTTTCGGGTTTTTAGCATCAATCTCCACTGGTTTAATTAACCTTGGATTACTTGATTTTTGGGTTGGATTTTGCTTGTGTTCTGGTATGACCACTCTGCTTGCATACTTTCTGAATTGGGTTTTTGCTTTTGGTAATTTTTGTTTGGTAAATTTGATGAATTTCTTGTTTTTCTTGGTAGGAATCGGTAATTTGGTTAAACGGGTGTCACCAATTCGATTTGTTTTTGGTAAATTTTGGTTTCCGTCCCTCAATATTTACTCAAAGATTTGGAGAGACAGAGGAAGAAGAAGATACTAGGCTATTAAGCTATGGCTACGTATTTCCAAAATTTGAGTAATCAAAACTTACTGAACCCTTATCAAGGGGACGAGAAACTTCCCTCGTACTCCGAACCGCCCGGAAACATGATGATGTATCTGAATCAGGCTTCCTATGCCGCCGGATCCTACTCCCAGGTCTTGCCCGGCGGCAACTTCTCCCCTCAGAAATATGCTGACTCTGATGGGGGCAGGAGTGAAATGATGTTTATTCCTCCAACGAGTGATCCAGTCAGGGACTGTAACGTTGGCGGCGAGTCCTTGATTGGGAAACATAGTATGCAGGATCATGGATTGTCTCTTAGCCTTTCCACCCAAATTCCGCAACCAGTTTCTCTGCCTTCGTTTCAGTACCAATATCCGAATTCAAGTCTCTCTTCGGTTTTGAGCAATGCTCCAATGATAGGGAAGGGTGAGGAGTACAATCAGAGCGAGGAGTTTAGAAACTTTGAAAGCTTGGCATCGGGGTTATATGGAGGCGGCCATGAGGCTGTCAAAACACAGGCTTTCTACAATCCAATGTGTTCATCGGGATCCAAAGAAATGCATTCGGAATATGTGTATGACTCACTAGGTTCCACGAACGCTATGTTAAGCTCTAAGTACCTCAAGGCCGCACAACAGTTGCTTGATGAAGTGGTCAATGTCAAAAAGGCTTTGAAGCAATCTCATTTGGACAAGAACCAAAGCTTTAAGCGGAGTGGATCAGATGGTTCCAAAGAAACCGATGGGAATGATCAACATTTACCGAGGTCATCAGATCCTGGTGAATCGAGCACCATTTCTTCTGTCGAGTTATCAGCAGCAGAACGGCAGGATTTGCAGAACAAGAAGACCAAACTTTTATCCATGTTGGATGAGGTAAATAAGCGCAATTCGTAGAAACTTTTGTTAATGATTTGGTCGGAGGTCCTTTTTATGTTACTTATTTTGCAACGTCATCAATGGATATGCCGTTATTGCAGGTAGATAGAAGATACAAACAATATTACCATCAAATGCAAGCTGTGGTGTCATTTTTTGACAAGGTGGCTGGGAACGGGGCTGCTGGACCGTACACTGCACTTGCTCTCCAAGCAATTTCCCGTCACTTTCGCAGTTTGCGTGATGCAATCAAGGGCCAAATTCAAGTGACGCGGAAAAGACTGGGAGAGCAAGATAATTCATCGGATGGTCAAGGGTCAGTAATACCCCGCCTCCGCTACGTGGACCAGCAACTCAGACAGCAGAGGGCATTTCAGCAGCTTGGTGGATTGCAGCATGCTTGGAGGCCTCAAAGAGGACTTCCGGAAAGCTCTGTTTCAATCCTTCGTGCTTGGCTGTTCGAACATTTCCTTCTTCCGTATGTACTTGAGCACCTTTTTGCCTTAATTGAAAATCATACTTGCCAATCTCTTAAGAATTCACTGATTCTTGTGGTTTTTGGTGTCCCTCCAGCTACCCAAAGGATTCAGAAAAGATTATGCTTGCAAGGCAGACAGGATTAACCAGAAACCAGGTAAGATTACTTATAGTCTTCTTCCCGTTGCATCGCCATTTATTTTTTCCGTTATGGTTTCTTAACGTGCACGGTTTTGAATTGGGATTCAACTCTCAGTCAGTTCAAAATATGAACGTTAATACTTGGTCCTTTCTTTTCAATGCCATCAACATGACTACTCAATGTTGTAATTTCTTCGTCATCATTTGAATCTCGTAGCTTACCTTGAAATATTACATCACCAAGGCCATATGGACCCTTGTTTTGTTTGCATAGTGTTGTAACTAACATTGTTCGTTGTCAGGTTGCCAACTGGTTTATCAATGCAAGGGTACGGCTTTGGAAGCCCATGATTGAGGAAATGTACAAAGAAGAATTCGGTGATTTGGACACGGATGCGAAATCTTCACCAGAAAATGCACTCAAAGAAGCAGCAAGAGTTGATCTCTCAGCATCTGAGGACAGGAAAGAGGAGTTGCACGAAAGCCTGATATCCGCAACTGCTGACAGCATCGAACCAGGGCAAATGCATGACTCGAAGTCGGGTCACAGTTCCACATATGACATGCCAGGGTTGGATCATTTCACGGTTGGCAACGACGTGTCACTTGCATTGGAGTTGCGGCATTGCGAAGAGCACGATGGATTTCCTCCATCAACCGGATCCCATGTAACAGTGAGCGATGCGGCAGCTTCTTTGGATTGTCACTATGAGGATCCGGAGCAGCAACATTTGATTCAGGTTTGGCAATACCCACGCGTTACTTGATTTTGTAGTCCGAGAGGATTATCGCCTCCAAGTTTTGGGTGGTAAGCGGTCTCAGGCAATGATCGTCGAGAAACAGAATGCTTGTTTTGATGCTGTAGCAAAGGGGGTGTAGATGTAGATGTGTGTATGATACTGATACCAACTTGTAATATAACAGAGATTGGTGGAAGAAGAAGAAGAAGAAGAAGAAGCCTTAGGCATATTTGTAAACTATTTTTGTAAAGATAAAAGGTGAAGGAATATCTTGTGCATTCATTGAATAAGGAACCTGGAAACTCTATAAGTGTGACATCAAAATAATCTCATTTGGGAAATTAGTCTGATACAAGATTTACATGAAATCGGGTGTATAATCCAAAGTATTTGTTTATATTCTCATGTGACGTGTTGGGAGAGTATTTTTTTATAAGATGAAAATGTGGTGTATAACCAGTGTATTACGTGTTTGTGCAACTACACATACAAAAGTGAGACTGTTTGTTTTTTTTATATCAACCATGTGTATCCGTAAAAGAATGTTGCATATAGCTGGTCGTACACAATAACACATTCATATACGTGATATTTCAAAAGAGAGTAAGATATAATAAAATTTGTGTTTCTTGTCGCGTGATGTTCGATAAGAAACAAATCTAAAGAGATGTATATTGGCTTGTATGATAGTCTCTCTCATGGGACTATGAAGAAGCATATACTTATCCAAGCATTCGATTTTTCTGATGGTCTTGGAAGGAGATCGGATTGGAGGGTGGATATCCCAAAGCAATATGATCACGGGAACAATTTTTTTCTGGCAGAAATTGTTGGCATTTGAAAATTACTGGGAGGGGAAGGAGTGGGATGGGTTTTCACTGTTCAGGTTTTGCAGATAGGGCAGAGACAACTTTAATCTATAGGGTTGTGGGCCCTAGACTTTAGAGGGGAGGGGTGTGTCCTATTATTTTATAAAGTTACAAAAGTTAGAAACTAGTGTAAGAGAGTGACAAGTGGAGGAGGCCAAAGGAACAAAGATGGCAATCATTACTAAAGCATCCGATCAGACCACCCCAAAATACCCAGCAAACCAACGCCCTACTTCAACCTCAAGATAAAATTTGCAGTGTGCCGGAAATATATCGGTATACTAAGTGTAATTATATAAATAGTTGGATATTTAAAAAAAAAAAAATTTAAACCACTTATATAATGACACTTCGTATATCAAGCTGTGATTCTGGCATACTGAAATTTTTTTTTCACCCTCAATTAATATTGACTACCTCTTTCTCAAAAACCTTGTGTAGTAAGAGCATTCAGGTCGCGTCGTATGTAGATTATTTCATAAAAACATAGCCTACTTGTATTTAGTCTCATTCGACTTCACGTTAGTTCTATTAAATGTGAGAATCGTCCCAATTAATTAGCGCTACACAAATTTTTCTTAGCGCTCTAGAAAACTTGGTATAGGGGCATCGATACCGCTTCATTTGTTGGTCATCTATTAGAAAACATGGGACTCAATGCATTTTTACTCGTCTGACCACAAGCTTATCTGCTTAGTGGGAGTTTTGCCCAAATTAGTCGATCCTACACAAATTTTTTTTTCTTAATACAATGAGAAACTTATTTGCATCGAAAATGCTACTGACTTGAATGAGAGTTCAAAATTAACTTTGATTATTACCAAAATGACATCTTGTATTATCCTCATCAAAATCACATGAACGATGAACTCGTTTACATTTTCTATTCAATACTTGAAAGATTGTGAAATCAGTGTCCTTTCAACATCTCTCCCTCTCTTTCTTTCTCTCTCTCTATATCTCTCAATCGCAGAGTTGGATTCTCTTCCGTCATTTTTCCCTTCTCTCCTCTCTTTTTCCTCTTCTTTTTTTTCTCTCTCTCTACTTTGAAGGTTAAAACAAGATAATGATGTGGCTTCGAATAAGAGGAGAGGGAGGGGAGGAAAAAATGGAAGCAGAGAGAATCCAGATCCATCAATCTCCATATGCATGAAGCATGAATACGATACCTAACATGAAAAGGTGAGATATTCCCATATGCTTAGAGGCTCAGAAGCTGACAATCTTAGAACTGGGAGTGTGCAAAAGGCACCCCACTTTTTCCCTCCTCCTCTCCTCTCCCTCCTTTTATTACAGTCCTCCACAGCAAACCCAGCAGCACTGCATACGAATAGAACAATTTAACGTGCTGAACTAGCTGAGACCAGCTGCTGTCCTTCTGCCTTTCACAACAAGAGAGAGAAAGTGAGGAGAGAGAAAGAGACAGCGACATACACACTGTTTAGAGAGAGAGAGAGAGAGAGACGAAAGAAAGTAGATTTGATAGTCCAAAAGAAATGTGACTGCAGACACTAAAGCTGGAGGCTTGGATGCTTTTTGGCTGTTGGTTTTTTTAAAGTCAGGGAAAATTGGGACCATCTTTTCTCTTGTCATTTTCTCTGTGTTTACTTGCCCAATTAACCTGCCTTCGTTAAGGATCCAGCACAAGTCTATGGTTCTAGCTTTCTGCTCCGAGTAATACTAGATAGATTAACTTTTTAGATCGTATTTATAAATTGTTATATAATTTACAAAATATAGTTTAAATAAATGATATCTAGCATTACCCTTCCGCTGCTGCTTACATTTAGATAAGGCCTGTTCCCTCTGTAACACACGGAGGAGAGAGAGGGAGAAGAGAGAGGAGAGAGAGAACCATTTCTTCATTAAAGGTAGGATTTGAAACCCAAACCACGGATTGGTTCTTGCTCTTTGTTTTGCCATTTCAAAGGGTCATCATAGCTCAAATTCTCAGGTTTACATTCACCAAATTGGGTTTTTCTTCCTCTTGTCAAAAGTGCTTTTCTTTTAAGCCATTTTATGACAACAAATTCACCAAAGATTCTGAGATGGCCTTCTGCCTCAATAGCCAAGTCCTATTTATATCTGGGCTGATCAAGCTATACTTGCATTGCTTTTTTCCTTGACATACCCATCTCCCCATCTCTCTCTCCCTCCCTCTCCCCCTCTCTCTCCCTCGTATGATCATGAATTAGATTTTTCAGTTTGTTTTTCTCCCTTTGAAAGTTTTGAGATTTTCAACTGCTTGTTTGCAATGGTGTCACAAGACTCACCCCCAAATCCCTCCTCAAGCATTTTCCACCAGTTCATAATCTCAGACTCCATTTCTGCTCAAAACCATCATCTGGAAACCCATCACCTTGACGCTTATCCGCCTTCGTTTCAAACTAGTACCGCAGTTCCACAAGCTCTCGGAGTCCTCCCCGGCATTCACTCCCTCGGCGAAAGAATGTCCCGGTCAGTAGACCTTGTTCAAGCTCCTACTGGCGCATCAGTCGAGAACCAAGCGCAGCGGCTTTCGCTCTCCCTCGGTTCCCGCATGCTTGTTCCTTCTGTCCAGTACCGGTACAACAACTTCCTCATTGGGGAAGAATCAGGGGGGGCTTGCAACCCGGGAGTTGAGCACGTAGGCGATGAGTACTGCTTCATGGGCGGCGCACTTGCTTCGCATTCAAGGGCGCTGAATAGATCCTGCTCCACTTCTTATGGAGCAGAATCTGTAGCCGCTGTCATTGCGAATTCGAAATATCTTAAACCGGCTCAGTCCCTCTTGGATGAGATTGTTAATGTTGGCGGAAAATTGGTTGACATTAGCAATGAGAAACATGTTGGGAAATTGTACGGAGAAGGGCGGCGAGGCGGTATGGGGCTCTCCTCTGAGCTAAAAGCAGAGCTGTCTTGCAATGCCGGGCTCATGAACGCCGACAAACACGAATTGCAAGCTAGACTTGCAAACCTCATCACATTGTTGGAACAGGTACAATCTTGATGCTTAGTTTAAGTTTTTAAACAAGACGATATTCTAAACTAGTTTAATCTACGGGAATGGGGGGATTAGAACTTAGGTACGAGGGGACACACTGCCTTAGGGTTTAGGGAACAAATTTTGTTTTTTAAAGACTTAATTTGTTTGATGTTTTTAAGGTTGAGGACAGATGTGGGAAGTACTACCATCAAATGGAACAAGTGATATCATCATTTGAGATGGTGGTAGGGGAAGGAGCAGCCAAGTCCTACACAGCTCTGGCACTCAAGGCCATGTCAAGGCATTTTTGCAGCTTGAGAGATGCCATAGTTTCACATATCTACACTGAGAAGCGAAAGCTGCTGCAAGATGTTCCGAAAATCAGCAGCGGGTTATCGCAACTGAACTTGTTTGATAAAGAGTGCAGGCAGAAAAGAATGTCCCTTCAACAGCTCGGCATTTTCCAGAGCCAACGCCAAGCTTTCAGACCAATTCGTGGATTGCCAGAGACCTCTGTTGCGATTCTTCGCACTTGGCTTTTCGAACACTTCCTCCACCCGTAAGCAATCCAAGAACTAATCAACCCTTCATTGGGATTAATCCGAACTAATTATGTCTAACTTGGTTTTGATCATACAGTTACCCGAATGACAATGAAAAGCTGCTGTTGGCATCACAAACAGGGCTGTCCAAGAACCAAGTAAGTTCCAACAACTTGATTATGTCCTAATTAGTTTCATATGCTGTAGGTCATATGTAACGGTCCGATTTTCTGATGATCCATGTTGTCTCTGTTTCAGGTTGCGAATTGGTTCATAAACGCGCGTGTCCGGCTGTGGAAACCTATGATTGAAGAAATGTACAAGGAAGAGTTTGGGGAGTCTTCAGAGGACTCTAACTCTTTAGCCGCCGGTTCCATGACCGGCGAAGGCAACACAGATCAGACAGAGGATTAATCGCTTGCAGTAGAAGGCATTTCAATTCTTTTGAGTTTGATGGTAAAAATTGCCTGTAGAAGTTTAACGACTGAAGTTGTAAAGATTTTCAATTTCTCAAGTCTAACATATGCAACTGTTGGTTTTGGTTTTGTGAGAGTAAATGGAAATCAGGTCTTAGAATTTCTCTTTGATTTCGGAGCATATAGCATCGCGAAATACAGAATCTCGGAAAAGCAAAACAATTTAAGATAATGCTAGTAAGAATTTTTCACATCCTGCTCACATCTTTTCTTTGATTAGCAAATCCTTTCCTATGCGCGTCTTCTTTCTTTCGGGTGTGGTTTGTCAAACTGAATCTCCCTTGTATCCCGTCTTATTTCATCCAAGGGTCGAATTTCAGAAATAATCGGTCTCCAAAGTTGCACGTAAACAGAAGCTTCAGTTTTGTGGTCGAAATGCTTTACGTTGTAAACTTACACCCAACAAATGGCAGTGTTGAAACCAGAAAGCCACTCTGGTCACTGTAACACAGAGCTGGAAGCCATAACATCCTCAACTCATCAGGGCCTACTCTTCAAAAAATAGGTCGTCTGCATCAGCGTCAAAACTACTTCGCGGACTCCTCCTGGACCTGACCATCTGCAAAGTGAACATGTCCAAATGACGTCGTTAAATCAGCTCAATAGACCATATGCAGAATCCACTAAATTAATGCAAAATCATCTCTCGAGTCTCTCACCAGCAAGAGTGATTTCCAAGTTTGCTTGAGCATCTGCCTTGGAGTTTCGTTCCCTTGAAGGTACACACGAACATGTCAGAATATTATAAGCAGCCTTCGTGAGGCGGTATAATACAAACCCACAGAAAGCAATACAGCACAAAAGATAAATAGACTCGACTTTGCTCACCCTCAGGGCATGGCTGATCTTGAAGGAGAGCAATTTATCCTTCAGTTTCTTCACCTCTTCATACAAATCCGACATGTTCTGGTTTTTCACCTTCCATAAACCCTGAACCTGTCCAGTTATCTTTCTCTATTAACACAGAACAAGGAGTAAAAGGAAAAGGAAAACCGCAAAACTGCTAAAGTATCAAACAACCAAAGACAACGTAAACCACCTTAAGCAGAAGAATGTAATCACAGTACTAACCAGCCTGCATACACACGAGTTTGGAGTCGCCTTGGACAGAAATCCTTGTAAAACCTTTTTTATGAGCACAATTTAACCCTAAAATAACAGCTTGGTACTCAGCAACATTGTTGGTTACAACACCCAGACCTTAACGTATTTCACCGATCTACATGAGGAAAAGCATGGTTAGAGTCTTCGAAAGACGAGTAACTATAAGAAAAGACCACCCAGACGTAAAATGTATACCAAGCGTCCATCGTCTGCTCGCAACACAGCTCTAGCACCAGCTATTCCAGGGTTTCCGTTTAATGTACCATCAAAATGAAGAATACAGGAACCCTGCATATTTAACCTGTCCCTGCAGTATCTTTGGTAAGTAAATACGTTGACATTGTCGAATTCACATTTATTTGGTGGTGGTTTTTAGTTTCTACCCGGTGTTGATTTTGTGCATTCTGTGCTGAGAAACAAGTTAAATCAATTGACTGGAGCCAATGTGCTTGCTGAGATTGATTATTTGCAACCGTAGATCCAGCCACAAGAAGGGTGGTTCGGGTAGCTTGATCATACTCTGACAAATTTCTTATTACATGATCATGTGTTATCTACCGTATAAACAACTGAAAAGTCAGAGAAGCAAAATTTTGATTTGATGTAGTACCGAACAGGCTGCAGGGGATGCATGAAATTTGGTTAACATGCTATACCACCTTTGATTCTCCACTGACAATGAGCTACTTTAGATCCTGTACACCAGAATTTGAACTTCATGCAATCAGTTAATTAATTATGCATCAGTTCCCGTCGAACCCTAATCATCGTGATTTATTTTATTTTATTTTTTGGTACGAGGGGAGTTTTATTGATATCGAAAAAAGTGTACACCTAGTCGGCGGAGGGGGAAAACCCTCATCATCGTGATCGAATCAATCAAACTTACCTGAAATACCAAATATGAAACCATTTCGATAGAGTTGTGCTGTCATCTAGTCATGTTATTCATCTTCTGCAAAACTGAAGCTCCAGTGGTATCCGGTTCAAAGTTGAAACTATTTCCAGTTGTAGTCTGTTTAGATGCTAATGGGTGGTCACCCTCATCTATACCCTAAACCGAATATTCGAACCGCGTTGGGATATTGACCAGCGTAAGAAACAGCGAGGAACGTTCGTACCCATGCCTGAAATGGGATTTTACATACTGATTGATTACTCTATAGCCAAAAGTGGAGAAAAATAAAATGTTAGAGAAATATTCTTCCTTGGAGCAGGTGGCACTAGAGACAGGTTCGACAATGCGAACAGCTGTTTGTCCACAGTAGTAGGTGGGAGTGGTTCCATTTCTTCCATTAGTTCACCTCTATAAATTAACTGGTCACCATGCAGTGAGAGCAAACCACACACTCGAAGCCTTGGACTTGAATTACCAATGGCAGTCTTCAGAGGAACTTTCTTAGGTCTCGTAGTTGTGACATTGGTGGTCTCAGCCACGCTTTCCGCCGCTCACCTGGAGGGTTTCAACTTTGGGTCGGTTGGGTCTCAAGGTCTTTTCCCAGAATTCTATCAATCCTCGTGCCCTCAGGTTAACGACATTGTCATCTCCGTGTTACAGCGGGCGATTGATTATATGTTGTTTGATTGTGTATAGGAGCTGCTGTTTGAAAAAGAATCTGTTGCTGCCAATATCAAGAGACTAATGCATATTTCCTTTAATGCTATTTGAATATTTCTTTTTGCTTGCTGTTGTTGCTGCTGAGACCAATATCAGGAGACTAATTCAGTAATTCTGCTTGAGTTCTTCATTTTTTTTTTTTGTGTTGTATACAACTTTATATAAACAGTTTTAGAAGATGTATTTGAATGCATGATGATTTGGTGTTCAAATAATTTAGTATTTGAAACCGTAAATCGGCAAGAACCGAGTTAGAACCGGTGTAGACCAAATCGTACAGTTCTAGTAATAAATTTAAGTGGAACCGCACCGAATTGAACCATTGATAATTTAAGATTCCGATTTCGATTTAGGGGTAGAACCACACCGAACTGTACCGTGCCCACCCTTAAAGTATAGAAAAATTCAGGTTGTCCCGATCCAAGTTGTACTCTTACCTTTACATTCTAGGTGCAAATAAGCATAAGCCCCGTAGAAATAGGTTCTTAGAAATATGAAGACGCCATGTCTAATTGGTTGCCCTTTCATGCGTTATTTTGTAGAAATAGTCAAATATGATACATGAGATAACTTTTGAAAATGCTTTATAACTTTGTGTTTTATTCTCTGAAAATACATGAGATAACTTTCCCACCATTGCACTGCGCCTATGAAAAACAGTTTTCCTGTATTTCTGTTCAGCTTTTCTATATTTACAATTTTCGGCAAGAATTGTCGTTTGTATCTAAACTTTCCAATGAAAATGCATCGTGTTTCACATGAGGTTAGCTTTTGCTGCAAAGAACAGTTAATAATAATACACTACTATGAGCAAATCTCGAAACGAAGTCAAAATAAAATTTTCTTAAATATTTAGCATAAGATACACACAACATAATGTAACACGCATGTTTCATGCATATAAACCAACATCATTCAAGCAATCCAAAGTAACATTCATGTCTTAAAAACTGAAAAATGAACTACTACAATTAAGGAAACACAATCGCTGATACGTGAGACTCTATTCTCCAAAACGCCCACTCACGAGTGGCACCGCATGATGTCTCATATGGGAAACCAATTCCCGCATTGCCGACGGTCAAGTATTTGACGTCAAAATGGTATAAAATCATTGCAAAATTTTCAATGGATCATCCACCCATTCAGTGATATCTCTAAAATCGTACAAAATCATCATAAATTAATGCGATTTCATAAATTGACCCCGATTATGAGTTGAAATACACAAGCATTGAAGAATAAGGAATATTTACAGTAATAATTATTCAGTAAATGTGATAATTATTAGTTACGGAAATATCATATGGCATTTGGAGAAGCAAATCAAAACGTACGAATTGATTGCGTTATAGGGTCAATGTTGTATATATAAATGGATTTGTAATGTGGTTTTGTATTTTGGAGTTGATCGTGAAAGGTTAAGGTTAAATACATACTTTGTTTGTGGAACGATCAAAGATGGCAGTTGGAATGCACAAAATTTTGGTGATTGGAATCGGCATTTTTGTCAGCTGTTTGCTGCTCCAATGCGAACAAGTTGATGCAAAAGAATACATAGTGGGGGATGAGAAAAGATGGAGCCCTGATGCTAACTTAACCCAGTGGACTGAGGGCAAGAAGTTCAAGGCTGGAGATGTTTTGGGTAAAATTACTGAAATTTGGTTTTCTTTTCAATTCGTGTTCATGCGTCCGATTCCTAAAGTTTATATATTACTATATTTTATTAGCAGATGGTTTGTTTACTAATTCAATGTATTTTATTTTGAAAACAGTTTTCAAATATAATAGAGATCCCTTTCTCATGGTAGCTGCTGTACGGGACAAGTATTTGTTCGAGAAGTGTGACTTATATGCCGGTGCGATAAACCTATTCCGTTCAGGAAATGATCATGTGGTATTGGAGAAGGGCACAACCTACTTCGCACCTTATCTGACTCCTTATTGTGAAAATGGAATGAAACTTACAATTGATGTGGAGTAACTATATATTATAATTATAAACATGCATGATGTAGTATGTTTATCAAACAGACTCCATTGTTAATTATGTCATACAAGAAAGACATTATATATGATGAAGAAATAATTGGAGCTAGATGTATGGGTTTTTGTTCATGTTCATTCCCAAAGCCAGTGATTGCTAGCGTCACCAATATTTAATAACTATGTCTATCATTTCAACTATTTCAACAACCAAAATTTGTTAATTCCACATTCCGAAAAAAAATATAAATAAATAAAAACACTCAGTTTATTTATTAAAAGATAAGAAAAAGGAGGGTTTGGGCAAGAGTACAAACTTAAAAATTAAAAATTTATAACACCAAAATAAATCAAACTCCATATGAATACCAATTTAAACTTGAAGTTTACCAACGGCTGTATTCCAAGAACAAATTTAGTTTGTCGTTCATTTTCTTGGCAAATCAATCATATGCAACTTACGTAGTCGGAGCTTTCAATTCTTATAAAAAGTTGCAGAACCATAATTTTAAGAGTTCTTGAGATATAGACCCTTACAATTGTTTTTCTCTAGATAAAAACTTACTTAATTCTACACATCCAAATAAAATCTAAATTTGAAAAAGACTGCCAAGTAGAAAAGTAATTGACGTATTATTACTAAATATTTACAATTGGTGCCACAATATTCAACTCAAATCAATAAATGTTATTACTCACCTTAATTATAATGAACAAATAATTATTGCACATACTATTAGCCCTAACACACACACACACACACACACACACGCACACGCATGTACACACGTCAAAAGTATATAGTACTACTATAAGTTCAATATATATAATTTACCAATATGTATATAGTACAACTATACGTTCAAATATATATATGCACTACCGTTTATGTTAAAAAAATCTTATATGTAATTAGTTTAAATATATATAAATTTATGATTAGCAAATAATATATATTTTGTGGGTAATTTAGTAATGAATCAAATACATTCTTTTATTTTGTAAGTAACTTATTTTTCATATATTATTACATATATTTGACAAATTAAATTTGTGGAATGTCATGAACTTGTACCCATTTTTTCCAAGGCCAGTGATTGATAGCTAGCGTCACCAATATTTAATAAATATGTCTATCATTTCAACTATTTCAACAATCAAAATTTGTTAATTTCACGTTCCAGTCATTTCCCATGAAAAAAAAAAAACACTCAG